TGGGAGACAGTAATGCTGGGGACCGTCTATTCTTCCATCTTGACTGGAAGCTCCTGATCAGATTTATATTACTTTGATTTACTAAGCTCCTTGAGGGGAGGTTTCTTTGTTTTGTGCATTTATGTAATCCAAGCACATGTAACAGTATGTGCACATCATAGGCACTCAATTATTTGGTAAATAAATGAGTGAATGAATGAATGACCCAATTAGCCAATCAGTTTTAAAGAAAATATGCAGTTTCTACTAGATCCCAACTTATCAGGAATTTGATGAGTTTTTCAGGTACTTTAGTCACATACTGAGAGTAAGTTTGAGGAACCCACCAAACTGTCAGCCTCTAGCAGAAAAGAATGATTTTGCCTTCACACCTAGTGCATGCAAAGACTAATATACATGAATCCCACAAGTATTTACTAAGCATCACCTACTGTATGTCATGCCCTTTGTTAGATGCCGGAGATGGTAAGATAGCAATATTCTGCCTTCGTGGAGCTTACAGACTAGTTGGGGAGACAGAAAACAAGCAGGTAAATAAATAACAGATTTTTAAAAGTTCTGTCGAAGAAAAAAAATGTATTGCTATGACTGGGAAAACAGGAAAGCACTTAGTTTTGATAGAAAGGTCAAAGAGAGCCTTTCTGAGGAAGTGAGATATGCTGAGGAGGAGCCATTATGTTGGGAGGACAAGAGGGGCAGGGAGAACAATTCAGGCTGAGAGAACAATATTGCAAAACTCTTTGAATGATAAAGAGCTTGTCTTGTTTTGAGCAACTCAAAGAAAGCCAGTGTGAGTAAGGGGGGTGGAGTGACATGATACAAAATTAGAGAGGTGGTTAGAAACTAAATCTTGTACAAACTTTTATGTGCCATTAACCCTTAACTTTGAACCTTCTAAGTTGGGGCAATGTCTCTTAGTTCAACTGTGCTACTCAGCATTCTGTAACCATGGTCTTCTGATCAAAGCTACATCTGTGTGTTGACTGTATTAGGTGGACCTCTAGTGGAGCACGGTTCTCAGAGGCTTTGTCTTTTCAATGATTTCACAGCTCCGTTGTCAAAACAGGAGTGAGGACTGTCCCAAAACAGTTGTCCATTGGCATTTAGACAACTAACAGCCTTTAGATATATAAGAATAGGAGCTACCACTTGAGTTTTATTTGATTCTCTAAATTTATACTTTTTGTTGCATATTTCATTGCTGCTGATGCTTTTGTTTTTTAAACCTGCAGTTGAATATTATTTTTGTTGAGACAAACATATAACATATATACAGATATGTACATATAACAATATATAACATATATACATATAACATATATATGTATGCAGGATGATCCGTACGTTTTTTTTTTAAATGCCTGGCTTTTCATAGTTGTATGTGGGATAATGCATGTAGTGCTTGTATACATTTTTAGGTGAGCTTAGCTTGGGTTCAGTGATGCTTATAAGAGCCTAAAAAAGTTATTTAATTATTGACTACTTCCCACAATAGAATTTAAACTCCATGGGGACAAGAACTTTGTCTTGTTTACTGTTCTGTCCCTCAGTGGCTGGAACAGTTTCTATGCACACAGCAGACCCTGATATACTTACTGGTTTGCTGAATGAATAAATGACATGTTAAAAATGATTTGGTTAGGGGCTGGCCTGTGGCTCACTTGGGAGAGTATGGTGCTGATAACACCAAGGCCATGGGTTCGGAT